CTCTTGTCCGGCCTCTATTGTATTTTTCTGTTTTCGCTGTCTCTGTCTTTCTTTACTTTCTCTCTCTTTCTGTTTACTCGCTCTCTCTCTCTCTCCTTTGCTCGCTCGCTCGTTCTTTTGTCTCTGTCCTCTCTTTTCTCTCCCTATATCTATCTATCTATCTATCTATCTATCTATCTATCTATCATAATATATATACACATAATATATAGATGATATATAGATAGATAGATATGTATATATATAGATAGATAGATAGATAGATAGATAGATATAGATATATTATCGAAGCCTTGGGACAAAGTTAATCTGAAATGTGTCAATTTGCGATAATAAAAATAAAACAAAAAAACGAAGAAAAAGCTGCACTTGGTTGCATGGCAGTAAATGTAGGTTTTATTCACCTGAGGTTAGCGTGTGGTATTCGCTTTAATTATGTCGGTATGTCTCTTTTCTTTCTTTCTCTTTTTTATTTATTTATTTTTTGTGTGTGTCTTTTTTTCGGGTGACTTGCGTGTACGGTTGAAGCACGTGTGTGTGTGTGTGTGTGTTTTTATTGTTCATGTGTTTATTTGCGTTTGCGTGTGTGTGTTTATAGTGTTGTTTATATTGTGGGTATATTTATTATGTGTGTGTGCGTGTGCGTATGTGCGTGTGTGTGTGTTCGTCTGCTTTCCATGAACGGACGGAGTTTCGTGTATGTACGATGTGGTTGTGGACGTGTGTGTGTGTGTGTGTGTGTGTGTGTGTGTTTTAATTACAGGTACGTGTTTAATCTGCTGATCTTTTTCGCATTTTGAAATATAGCCCATTTACCTGCCTCCATATTCCATCCGCCACCCCCCTCTCTTCCCCCCTTCCCCTCCTCCCCTGTAGTTCCCTCCCCCCCCTTCCCTCACTCCTTTCTCTCCTTCTATCCCCCTCACTACTCCTTTTCCTCATTACCCCTCCTTTCCTGCCGCTCTTCCCTCGTTTTAACTCCTCCTCCTCTTCATCTTCTTATTCCTCACCTTCCCCTCCTTCCCCACCTCTTCCTACTCCTCCTCCCATCCTCCTTAGCCGCCTGCCTTCTTCCTTTCTCCCCCTCCTCCACCCTCCCTTCACACCTTCCCTCCCTCCCTCCCCCCTCCCTTCACACCTTCTCCCCTCCCCTCCACCCTCCCTCCTCCCTCCACCCTCCCTTCACACCTTCCCTCCTCCCTCCACCTCCCTTCACACCTCCCTCCACCCCCTCCTCCCTCCACCCCCTCCATCTCTTTCCCTGATCCTCGCCATCTCGCGTGCCATAAATCTTTGTAAAGTAATTCCATACACGATTTATTGGGTCTGGGGAATCTGTTGGAATGGCCGCACACAAGGGGGGTGGGGGTGGGGGGTGGAGCCTTTTTTTTTTTTTTTTTTTTTTTTTTTTTTTTTGTGGAGGTGGGAGGAAGAGTGGACGGGTTAGAGTGGATGGAGAGAAAGAAGGATAGAGAGAGGGAAGGATAGAGAGAGGGAAGGATAGAGAGAGGGAAGGAGAGGGAGAGAGGAGAGAGAAGGAGAGAAGGAAGAGAGAGAGGGAGAGAGAGAGAGAGAGAGAGAGAGAAGAGAGAGAAGAGAGAGAGAGAGGAGAAGAGACAGGATAAGGAGGTGGACAAAGAAGGAGGAAGAAAGAGAGGGAGGAGAAGAGAAAAAGAGAGGGAGGGAGGGAGAGAAAGAGAGAGAGAAGAGAGGAGAAGACAAAAAGCGGAGGGAGGAGAGAGAGAGAGAGAGAAAAGGGAAGAGGAAGAAAAAAGAGGGAGAGAGAGAGAGAGAAAGAAGAAGGGAGGGAAGGGGGAGAGAGGAGGAGAAGAGAAAGAGAGGGAGGAAAAGAGAGAAAGGGAGCTGAAGAATGAAAGAGAGGGAAGGAAAGAGAGATAGGGAGAAAAATGGAGAGTATAATGGTATTAATATGATAATGATGATATTAATTATAGAGGAACTGATAATAATTTTAACACTGAATTTCCAGTACAATAAAATAATAATTACGCTTTTCATATCGACAATAAAACAGATTAGAATGATCATCACAATGACAACAACATCAGCAACAGTAATAACTACCATATTGATAAAAATAGAAAAGAAAAGGAAAAAAAAGAAATGATTAAACCTTACTTAAAAATTCCCGCTGTGGTCCACCTACTCACACGCATTTGCATATCTTCTCACCTTCCAGAAAACGATTAAGATTCCCCATAAATCTGTCCGCCTGAACATGCCTCGTATATCATAGAAAACGAATCCCACTAACCTGTTGTTCTGATGTTGTTCTTGCTATTAATTTTGTTATTGGTGTTTTTATTAGTAGTAGTAGTAATGGTAGTTAGGTCATCATTATCGTGATTATATACTTCATCTTAATCACCATCACATCATTATTATCATCATCATCAATCACCCGTATCAACAACAACAACAATATTGCCACCACCACCGCTATCACTACTACTATCACTACTACCACAACTACCAACTACCACTAATACTACTATTACTGCCACTACTAGTACTATTACTAGCACCACTATTACCACCACCACTACAACTACTACTATTACTACTACTTCTACTATTACTACTAACTACTACTACTAACTACTACTACTACTACTTACTTCTCTTCTTCTACTACTACTACTACTACTACTACTACTACTACTACTACTACTACTACTACTACTACTACTACTACTACTACTACTACTACTACTTACTACTACTACTTTACTACCTACCACCACCACCACCACTACCACTACCA